TCTGCCGCGGTAGCAGACGAATAGTCGTTAGAAACTAATAATAACAATATTCGTAGACAATGAACAACCGTAGCTACAAATATCATCTGTTGAACTGACTTAGCTTTCGAAACTTTTGACATCATCACTGGATTAGTAGAAGAAAGATGTTCTCCAGAAAATACAATAAAAATTAAAGTTAGTATACCGTTTTTGAAATCACTTTTGAACCATTGAAATACAGTATTTATTCTCGAAGATGCAAAACCACTTTTTAGGTAAGAAGGATAACGATAAATAATACAAAAAATCAGCAATACAAGGGATTCATAAGGTTGAAAATAACATTTTTTATGTTCCCAAAAATACCGATAAGGACCACTTAGAAAACGTCTGAGATTCTATTCATTTTGTTCATTACCATCACCGAACGATTTACACATAGATTTACCCCATTTTTCAGTATATATAAAAACGCAACAGCAATAAATTGACAAATCCCATTACTCAGCCAACACACTCCACAAGGTTTTTCTTCAGAAACATTAATTTCCCGTTACCCTTCGGAGCGGTGGCAATCGCATAAAACCTAACACGGTACGGAAGAGCTCATTTCATTTCCATATGTTTTAAACCTATTACATTCATGCGGAGCTGCCTCGTCTACGTCCCTTTCGTTTGTTTAGCGCGCGCTTGAAATTCGGCCAAGTGAAACAGCCTGAAACGAAATGTCTGCAACAATATTATATGTATAGTTGTGTCAAATTGGCAATCAAATTAATTCATGCATTGAAGAGGAATTGAACTCGCCCAGTGGTGTAATAGGAATTTCTATTATTATAGTTTAGTAGTGCCATATTGGATGGAACCGATTTATACAAAATGATCAACTAGGAATATCGTTCAAAACATTTCAGTCATCTCCTGATAACGACACATTGGTTAGCATATCCATTGTCGAGAGACAATGCTCTCGTTCTGGTATGAAAAAAGTGTTTTAATGTGGACAAATGATCCAATTAAAGGCCTTATGCATCTTTACCAACAATTCATTCTACTCGTTGTTGTCAACATATCTACAATTGACATTATTCTTATGAAGGTGTCCAACCTCCATTAAGGGTTAGGTGCTTTATCAAAAACCTTTTTTTAAGTGAACTCGATGCTATCAGTAGTCTACAGAAGTATTCAAATATTTGGGTCGTTCGATATTCATTTATTATAGTTTCCGTTACCAGAACTGGTCGTGAATTGTATGTAAGTTACCTATCTAGAGCAAAAAAAAACTTCTCCATGATTCATGTCCATGGACAGGACTTTATAAAATAGATCCCGCTAGTACATCTAGAGTATGAAAGCTATTAGATAACAAAATGAAAGTTACGTGGTCATAGTTCCCACGACACGGCCATTCACACGGAGATTCAGCTGAGTAAGAGATATTCCAGGAATCCCTTATCTCGACATGCAGTTAGCATCCAGTTAACATTATATTAATAATCATTCTGTTTGTAGATCTCGTAAGAGACAGTCGTCTCTAGTTTGTAAAATAAATTCTTTTTAAAAAGTTATTTTCTCGTTCCAATCATTTAATTTGAATAACTTTCTAATTTTTATAAAAAGCAGAAAAACCATTTCGTTTGGAACAAATTGTTTCAAGATTGATACACTTCTCATAGGTTCAAACAAATTCTAGAAACAAACGATATCTCAAAAACGTGGTTATGAAGGGCTTCAAAAGTTTCTTGATATGATGAAAATCATTGTTCACACTCCATTTGTTTGACATAGGAAATGAGAAAAGGTTATTTTGTGAAAAATTCAAACAATACTGGCAAGAAATCTCCAGTTTGATGTTTTTCTCCTACTAATAAATAATTGTTCGTCATGATAACGACGAATGTTGCTACTTTGTAGGTTGTTTTTTTTAATTCTGTAGATTTTTGACAAACTGAGAGGAATGGTGGCAATATGTCCAGTGAATTCGTGAATTCACTGGATATATTGGAATTTTTTCGTGTATTCTTGCTTTCAAAGGATTCGGTTCATCCAAATATCTCCATCTCTTGTCACCGGTAATAATATGGTTTACAGATTCTGTAGTTCAAAAAAAATTTCATGCAAAATCTAATGCATTATAGTTTGTGATATGTCAAGGGACTCTTCTATCTGTATGAAATAAATATTTCGAATATTTTTCACAATTATATCTATGACATTAATGTTTCTGGAATCGTAACACGGACTTTCTTCACCCTTCACAGACGGTGACATGGCCACGACAAAATTCAGCAAACAAATGATAAACAGTTATTTCTGATTGTGCGTCATTACCAAACGTTGATCTATATATTCTTGTCGAGTTAGGCTCTACTTGAAAAGTCATCCTGATTCTAGGGAGATAAAAGGCAATTTTTTTCAGAATCATCATCTGATGGTCGTTTGTGAAATGAATTTGTGAAATTTTTCATAGAACATATTTCTTATTACAAGGTTGAAATGTACTTGAGTATGAGCTACATACTCAATATTGAGTATGAGCTTTCGTCCATCAGCATGTTCTATTATCATCTGAAATGGTGATGTCCATAGAGTAGAACCAGTGATTTTAGAAAAATTTTCCAATAACTCTTTGGAAGTCAAATGTGTTAAAATTTTCAATATTCTCAGGTAGAATAGTAAGATATCAGATAAAATTCTCATGAATACCAAGTAAGGTACAACCTATAATCTTCCCTCGTTTTCCGAATTACTCTGCGACGTACAAATCATTTTGCGAGCACCGTCAGCCGAATGTAATGATAAATGGACTCGAAAGTAAATCAGCGAGTATGCTCCATACACAGCTCGAGAGTGACAAATGGAATAAATTGCATATAACTTTCACATCGAAGCACACAAAAGGGCCATCAGTCCGGAAAATTCCGACCAAATTCGCATCATCTTCAAAATTGGTGTCGTGACACAGTCTAGAAAAAATAAATTAACTATACACGAGTATTGATTCCATGAAAATAAATTCTCGGCAAGCACTTGCATGATTCAACAGAATGATGAATTCAGAATATAGGATGTTTATTTGTTGAGAGGCCTTCGAAGGTGGACGTTCAACCATCATCTCAGAAGACAGTATCAAGACTGGTTTCTGCTTTTGCTTCGTGAGGGTTTAGTTACCCGCAGGTCGGATTAGGTACTTAATGAGTGGATCTATTCGACTTTTCACTGCAATTCATGTTTCCGAATAAGAAATAAATAAAACGTTCAACAACTCTGATCAAAACGGTATTCTCTGAACGTAGAAAACTAAGATAAATTTATTTTCAACATTTGTTATGAAATTGACTGATTTTAAATGAAAATTGATAACCTGTGTCAGATTTACTCAGTTTTACTAATTAATAGTTTCATCAGGCATGTATACGTAATACTTGAATTATCTTTAACATTTAGGTTTTTATTTGAAATTGATTTAACTTTTGCATTTTTTGACACAGTGTTGGCAATTCAAAACCCCATATATTCTACACGTGTCGACTGATTTTATGAATTGAAACAGTAATGAATAGGAAATAGAAAGCCCTCTTCAATAATAATATGCATTACTACTACCATTTTCAAAGAATTGAACATTTGGCTATAGATTTTGTCAAGAGTTGTGAAAACAGACTTCACGTGATTTTAGGTTTTTCAAAAAAATCCTTCGTCTGCCACTTCTGCCTACCAACTGAAGGCCTACTAACCGAAACAGAATTTAATGAAATATCTATATTGCTGTTTGTAAAATCCGCAAAAATACAACGTCGAGTAATGTTGTAATAGGGATTGAACACAAATAAAATGACAACCAAACCAGGGATAACCAAACAGAACCTAACTGCGGCTGCGATTATATGAACAAACCGACTCCGGTAAACAACGAAACAATATTGGGGACCGTAACGAGAACACCCGGATTCGGCGTTTATGTTGCAGAACGGGCGAACGATGACAACATCACGTATACTCCATTAAAGGCACTCTCTGTTGCAATGGATGTCGTCGGTAATCTAACATATCATTTTAATTAACGTGTGTATGCAACTTTAAATCGTGCCGGAAACGTTTTGTTTTAATGGAAATAACTTAATAACAGAAAAACATTTTTTAAAACGAGGTTTAATTTACATATCACAGTAACAAAAACGAAAAACATTATGAGAAAAAACATTAAATTCGTTTTATAAAATTACGACCTTTTGTCACTGAATGAGTTGAATCCACCCATGTCATCGATGACAGTACATGAGTAACATTCATTCGCTTATTTGATTGAATCTCGCCCATAAGAGTCTTGTTTAAATTGAAAGGGTATGTTTTTAGAAATGAATATCCTCTGAGAAGGAAAGGTTTTGGCTTTCTACTTTTTCATCTTGATAAAAAATGTGAATCCAAAGAAAGGAAGGAAAGAATCAATTTCAAAAAATGAATACTATACAAAGATGTGTAGATCATGAAAAGAAGTAACTTTCAGAAAGGAAATGAGAAAAAAAGCCCCCTCGAAACAGCCTTTTTTCTATTAACATTGAATCACAGAAAAAAAATTCAACACAAATAATTTCATATGAAAACTGGATTAAACGAAAAACACTTTTCTCTATTCCGTTTTTATACCAAAAATTCGTAGAGGAATCGAATCAGATATCATTCACAAAATTCCTACATAATATAATCAGTGAAAGAAGTGAAATTTCACTTACACTGCTAGACATCCGAAGTTTTGCCGAAAGTCAATTGCTTTATCGGCTCTTCAGTAGCAGAAACGGAAAATATTATAAGATAAAACACCCAAATTGTTTATAAAATTATGACATTTTGTCACTGAATGAGTTGAATCCAAACATGTTATCGATGACAGTAAGTGAGTAACATTTATTCGCTTATTTGATTGAGTCCCAGCCGTAGAAATCTTGTTTAAATTGAAAGGGAATATTTTAGGGAAAAATTATTTCTTGGGAAATATCGATTTTGGCTTTCTACATTTTCATCTTGATAAAAAAAAAGGGCGAATCCAAAGAAAGGAAAGAAACAATCAATTTTGGTATTGATTTAGTGTTCGGAGTAATGAAAGCCTCTAAATATTTGGTATGAGCATCCACCAAACCTAAAATGTACTTATCAAATATTGGACCCAAAAATCAATATAAAGTCTAAAGATACTTTTGTCTTCTCGTCTTTAAACAATGTTCACAAAATTAAATTAACATTTCAATAAAATTATTTATTTGCGGCCACCATAGATAAAAACGAATCAAACTTTTAATTTTTGCCATTTCAAAATGAGCTGGGTGTAACTGATTCAAGATATTTTTTTGTGAAATACTAGGAACAATGACCTTGTGCCCCAGCATCAAGCAGCTATCAACAACTGGAAAATTATTTTTATAATTAACATATAATAACCCATGTTTACATACTTAAAAATTTGCGTCGAAGTTTTGTCATTTTGAGTTTCAATCCTGTACTGTTCCCAATCAACAGGACATTCACTGTTTGACGACGTAAAATTTAAATAAGAAACTTCTGTCAAACTTTCTAAGTAGTTCATTTTGAAGGCAAGCAAGATTCAACATATTCCACATAAGAAGGTAGAATCTACTGGTAGCTACTGAAGGAATTCCCTTTTTATCACCAAATAAAATTATTGAACACCTCGCGTCAGTTTTTATTGTGAATTTTCTACTGTGAAGGTTTTAATGAAATTTTTGCACCCCAAACACAATGGGCAATTCCTCTTTTTCTAACTGCGAATGTTTTTGCTGGTTACTTGATAGAGTTGAAGAAGCAAAACTGATAGGTTTCTCTACATTTTCAATTACATGTGAAATCATATCTCCAACACCATAATATGAACATCCACTGTTAACTTTACTGGCAAATCTGGATTGAAATGTTCCAGAACAGGAGCATTGCTAATTATTCACATAACGCAAAAATGACCTAAACTGTGTTATATTATTAGGTATTGAGGCTTCAATCATCGAACCAACTTTATCCTCACTTTTTTGTAACCCGTATTTTTCAATATTATAATCCAAATAATGCACTGACTCTTTAAAATATTCACATTTATCTAACGCTATAGTAAATCCATCAGTTTGTAACCTTCCAAAAACTAGTTCCGTTTTATCCAAATGAGAAACCCAATTTTTTTCTGTTATCAAAATATCGTCTAAAAAACAAACAACCCCATCTAAACCCGCTAAAACTTGATCCATTACTCTCTGAAACATTTCCGGAGCACTGGCAATTCCGAAAGGTAAACGATTATAAACAAATGATTCTTTGTGAGTGTTAATTTTAGTTAATCTTTCGGACTCATCATAAAGTTCGATTTTCAGACAAGCTTAAGAAAAATCAATTTTTGATAATTCAACTCCACTTTGTAACTACGCAAACAATTCTTCAATGCGAGGCAATGGATATTTATCAACTAATGATACAGGATTTAGAGTGATTTTATAGTCACCACAAATTCTGATGGATCCATTTTTCTTAACTATTGGCACAATGGTCAAAGCGAAAGGTACAGAAGAAGCTTTACAAACCTTCAACTTGGCTCCCTCCTGTGAATCTAGTCGCAGCGTTCCACCAGTGAATTTACATAAATCATATACCTGAACCATTAGCAAACTTTTTTGATAATTTGTTTTTTATATCAGCTATATTGTTTAAGTTAACAAATTCACATTTTTTTTTCTGATCAACCCAATATCATCAGATGATAGGTCATCCTTATTATTAAAGAAATGATTATTATTGCCTTTGATATAACAATTTTTAACCAAAAGACACTTTCTGTTACAGAAATTACAAAAATGATTTCCAAAAATACACTTTTTCATGACAGGGTTTCCACTGTTGCCGGTTTTACTACTTTTTACTACAAGAGTCTTCACCAAATTCGTCGAGTAGGTGGGACGTTTTACTACATCATATGTGTTGTCATTTGCAATGAAATATTGCTCTAGCCTGGCGCCACAAATGAACCAATCAGAGTCTTGAGCTGAATCTTCCCTCAGCTCACCGACGGCTGTAGATGGAGCAGGAGTTGGAGCAGTGGAACTTTCTAGGCTTCCCTGTTGCATTTTGACTATTGGACCACTTGCACGATACCCGACAAGTACTACTTTTTCTTCATAAAAAACCTGCGCAGAAGAAAAAAAACAAAAATATATAACTATATTGTCGTTACCTCGTCGCCAACTATAATTTATCTCGGGTAAATGATACAAACGAACTGAGCCATTTCTCACCGCACTTTATTTCTATCAGGAGATATGACAATGATGTTTATAGTTGAACGAGTCGAATACAAGAGAGTCATCCCAAGGTCCGTACAAACTTAAAAGAAGCTTCACATTTGGCGATGCGCATGCGTTCACAATGAATGTTGAATATAGAAATAATTGTTACCATGAAGAGGTAATGTGTGTTGCCTGAAGTCAACACTAACATCCTATTAACTATGAACACGTGGATGCGATATTCAGCCGGAGAGTGGCCGGAAGCAGTAGGTTTGTATTCTGCACTAAGGAGTTTGGCTTGGGAATTAGCCTACTCGAGTTTTGACGCTTTTCATTCATCAAATTATGATTTGAGTGTATGTTATGATACTGAAGAGGTGCAAACACTTTTGGAGCTCAGTGAGAAGTATTAGCTTAGTGTGACACTGTGTCATGAATAATCGTATGAAAGCAAAAATTTGAATGAGTTCTGTGAGCTAATAATTGGAGCAGACTGGAAACATTTCCATCACGTCGTCTACCTACCACAGAATATCATAGAGAAATATCAATTAGGATTACAGGACCCACAACTGGAAAAATTTTTAAATGGTGGTGTTGTGAATGTTTGATATAAGTTATAAATAAAATCATGTTTCAATCCATATTTGTCCCTATGTAATTGTTCGGTAGATAAGACAGTAAGGCAGATGAAATTAATTATTGAGTGTTTTATTGTAAATTAATATCAAATACTTCATGGTGAATTGAATGTGGATCTAATCACAATCCTTGCGTGTTTGGAATTCTATTTTGATGTCGACTGTAGATGAATTCAAAGCATTGGGTTGGTGGGAGCAGGTGGGTAAATAGTAGATTGTTGCGAAAGCTACCAGTATCCATCATCGGCTCACTCATAACTTCATCGTAGAAGCTGTGTTGAAAGATTTTATATGCATAGTAGGCTGATGAGTCTAACTTCTTATCAGAATCCAGAATCCAACCTCATATAGATATACTTCAGAGTTTAGAGATAGTCGAATATTAATATTCGCATGTATGAATTTCGTGACATCTTTCGATATATTTTCCGATTGGTCAGTGCTTTTAAAGCTAATAATGCAGACAACAAAGAGTGATATACCACTCACCGCCAAAAATATAATTGAAGTGAGCTGAAACCGAAATTTGAAGAATCTTTCTCGAAGGATCTTCAAGCCTTCCCATTGACAACTTCAGATTTAGAATCACTTAATGTGGTTGATACTGGTAATGAGGTGAAAAATCACATATAAAAGTTACTATCAGGAAATCTATTACACTACAGTATTTGGAGTACACATGAACACTGAAACGGGAAATTTACAAATGGTTGTAGCTGATGTGAGATGAGAAAATTGTGTTCAAGAAAAATGGTAAACCTATTGCCACTCATCAGGGCACTCCAGAACTATATAAATTGATATTCATGAAAGTACCATCGGGAAATATCCCCTCTTCCGATATGACTATTTACGGTGATATACTCAATGAGAGAAAACAGACAAATATCGAGACATAATCCTACCACTATTATCCAATGAAAATCCGCTGCAAAACCCCAGCAGAGAAGGTGCCAGCATAATCAAAATACCCAAAAAAATATATGAAAAATAAGCTTATAGATTATGTTCATTGGAATGAACTCGAAGAATGTGTGTATCGCCTTCGATTACTTTGAGGTTAACGGATGGCTGGACATACCAGGCACGAAAATGAAATATTGGTCATAATTGAGGAATTACGTGAAGAAGGATTAATCTATTGACGGCAATATTATGAACACGATGTGTGAAAGTGACTCAGTTACTCACAGATAATCTAACTATTGCATACCACAATATTTGATAAATTTGGGCATAGAAGAGGGTATGTTAGTGATTATAAAATACAGAATGAGCGGTTGCGGAATGTTGATCAATCTGTAAACGGTAAAGACTCTGTCCATCCATCATATGGTAAATACCATCATATGGCAAATACCGAGACATCGCCTACCTATACTGGCTGTTTACGTCGGAATATATGAGGTATGTGTCAGGATTTGAAGGGTCGTAGTTTTTCCAATATTCGTTGTTCGCATGAGCTCTTCCCTTCGTGAAAACTTGGCTAAGTCCACCTTGAATCCCTCGTTCAACAAATAGAAACATGTCAGGATCGGTGAGTAGTTCAAATTCGACTTTGGTGTATTTGAGCATCGCATCCCACGTAAGGCCTGGTAGTTTGTGTAAAGTAGTGTGCAGGTTCCAGATTATGAGTCCTGAGGTGTTTTGTACGAAAACGATGGAATACGTCAGCGAGAAGGAGGATATCTGTTTTCATATATAAATCCACATAGTGACCCAAAGTCTGACAATTGAAAGTCTTCCACACATTCTGCGGTCATTGAAATAGTTTGCGGGGGCACGGATTATCTTCAGATCTATTGTAGAAGGCATCAATAGGGGGCAAGCAAGCTTCATCAAATCTATCGAAAGAATCAATATGATTATAAGGAATGACCCCCTTCTTGGTGAGTAATTCAACCGAGTATTCAGGTAACTCAGAGAACTGAACCTTTACATTAGGGAACTCTGTCAAGCATGATACTAACATATCCAGAGATGAATTCATAAAACGAAAAGTATCAATGAATCAAAACTGCACTGAAGTCTCATCCACATGTTTCTTGAAGGAGATGTACAATAGTACAATAGTACCCCTTCTTCTAGATGTAATACCTGTGATGACAAAATATTCATCATAGCCACTCAAATTGTGGAAGACTACGGCAAATACATGGCTAACTCAACTTCTTGCTTTGCAGTCATATCGATATAGTATGGACACCAAAACACTGTAGCCATATCTTCAGATGATTGGATTGACTGTCATCGTATGTGCACTTCAAGTAGCTGGTGAAATATGGTGTTGAGGTTTTTTAGGATCAACAGTGGGCTTTAAAACGGATTCCAAGTCGAAGTATATGATAAAAGCAGCCTTTTCTTTATTTTAATGTTTTTGTACTTGATGATGTTTTTAGCATCCCCAGGCACATTGATGGCTGTTTCATTGATTTTCTGGCATTCCTCAGTATGTTTCTGTAGTTTTTCTTCGTTTCGAAAATAGTGTAGGCAGCGATCACGAAAGTGCTTTTGACCATGTCTTTTACTCAACTGTCTCGATAAGAGCCTTAAAAAGTGCTTTACTCATTACGAACTGGAGTTTCACATTCATCATAATTGTCTTGAATCAGCAGTAAGTTCATGTGTCTATCTTTCTTTTCCTTTGCGAGGTCAGCAGGTAGGGTAATGAGCGTTTCACATTTCTCTTGGAGGATTTCCCATTTATATCGATGAAAATATTATTCAGTTTTATGAATCTCGGAATTTGTCCAAAAGTCATTGGGTAATGAATTCCTCTGCGATTCGCACGCAATTGGTATAATATTAAAAATTTGGACAATGGGTGCTATTCGAAAAACATCTACAAAGCATCAGAAAGGTCTACAAATAATCAAAACGTCGTTTTCTCTATTTCAAAACTCCTCGTATACAACAATTTCATAAAAAACGGAATCATTTCATTTCCTGGAATGATAAACATTGAAGATAACCATCTGAGGTGAATCGCAACAAGCATTTTCCAAAGGGCGTAACGAGTGAATTCAATGGGGAAATTCGTTACACTCTACCGACACATACTTAACATCAGTTGATGAAAGCGCCCGCGCAGTTGGGTTTTGTCATTTCGAAGAAATCCAATCATTTTATTGAAGAAGAATGCTGCTCCTCGCTGACTTGATGCAGCATAATTGCTCTCTTTTGGAATTTAAAACTACAAAGAAAAGTACATCTAGTTGATGGAAAATTTGGATGAGACTTCAGTGCAGTTTAGATTGATTTATTCCTTCCGCTCTATGAGTTCATATCTAGATATGTTAGTATCACACTTGACAGAGTTCCTTGAATTGAATGTTCAGTTCACTGAGTTACCTGAACATTTGCTTGCCCTCTATTGATGCCTTCTACAACAAATTAGAAGGTAAGCCTTGCCGCAGCAAACTATATCAACGAGCTCAGGATGTTTGGAAGAGTTTCACTCGTGAAACTTCGTTCAATATGTGGATTTATATATGGAAACAGTTATCCTCCTCCTCGCTGACGTATTGGAAAGATGTTCATGCAAACTGCCTCAGGACTCATGATCTCGACCCTGCCCACTACTTTACGCTATAAGGCCTTACGTGGGATGCGATGCTCGAATACACCGAATTCGAATTGAAATTACTCACCGATCCTGACATGTTTCTATTTGTTGAACGAGGGATTCGGGGTAGAGTTAGCCAAGTTTGTTCGAAGAGAAGAGCTCATGCGAACAATGAATATTTGAACAACTATGACCCTATAAATCCTGACACATACCTCATATATTTCGACGTAAACAGCTAGTATGGGTAGGCGATGTCTCGGTATTTATCATATGATGGGTTCAAGTTGTGCGATACCAATATTGACGTTTCATCGATACCCAAACATGCAATACTCCGTGTATACCAGTAAAATCGCTAGGAGAGTTCTAGCTATGTATTTTTTTAATGCGCTCCATTCTGGCGATTTTACGACCTGCGATCGGAACCAAGTGTAACACCCAACTCAAAGTATTTGTGACGTAGTCGTCCTCAATTTTCCACTTTTGCCGTTATTCAGTCAACCAATCAGAAGATATCTCGCATACAGCGGAAAATTCGAATCAGTGGATGAACAAGACTCGTACGAGCTCACTTCAAGGTCGCGCATCTATGGTTAGTGTTTCAGAGAGAGACTTCAGTGAGTGGGAGAGAAACATGTGACGCAATCGATCCAGAGAAGGATGAAATGATTATTGGAGAGATTCAAAAATGA